ATTTAAATTCTTTAATGAAGAAAGTCTAACAACAGTATAAAGAATCTCAAAATTTTCTAGGGGGAGCTCAGAAGCTTCTAGGGGGAGCTCCGCTGCCCCAAGCTCCCCCGGTGGCTCCGCCACTACTGTGGCGTCACAAAAGTAGTTGTATTGAATAATGAATATTACTTTGCTTAAATTGCTAAGTGCAAATATATATGGATTCAGAGCATCTGAGCACGGCATCTGACGCAACAGGAAATTACGGTTCGCTTCTTGTAGGTGAAAATGAAATGCTTTAATATGGGATGGTCTGAAAAATCATATTCTGAATGTTGATAACTAAAAAATAACTCGACTGATCCCTCTATTAAAAACTGGTTAGCCTCCAAAAATAAATAATCTATGTGCGATCTTCGATAAAAGATGTAAAAGAACTGTTTCATAAACTTCTGTAGAAATCACCTTGGATATAACCGTGTAATTTGTAATGAAAACTATGAATTTTAATGCTAGAACACGCATGTTAACGAAGATGACTATGAAGCTAAAATCCGCATGGTCCTAGTATTCCTATAGACTTGGATTCGATTCTGAGATAGCCTTGGATCGAGTTGCTTTAAAAAGAATGTGATTTGAAAAGTCAAAACGCTCGAAATGTTTGATTATCTTTTTGACAACAGAAATGAATCAAGAGTCGATGTTCTTTTGCTAAATTCCAAGATAGAAAGTATATCAGTAACGTAAAGAGATTTATCTTAAGGGAAAGTCCTCCATTTAGATTTGGTTCATACTTTTCCAGACTGTAGAGGACACTTCAAAATATATATGAAACCAAATATGAACGAAAGATTTTTCGCAATTCTTTAAACTGATTTTTAAATTAAAAAAAACGATTTTTAATTTCGTAAAATATAATTTAAAAATTCAGTTTAACGGATTTTTAAAAATTCTTCGGTCAAAATTCTGAACAACTTTTGCACTAACACTTTTCCTTGAAAACGTGCTTCCTTCGAGCGAAATTTGGTTCAAGGTGCTTTAAAAATACGTTTTGCTCCAAAATTCATTGACAGGTCAAAGCGGAATAACTCAGTCAAAACTTGACTGGTTGTTTTTCTAAATAAAATGTCATATCGGTCTTCTTCATTTTTATTTTTACCATCATCAAGAAATCGCCAGTTACTATCACAAGTTAAATTAAAATCTAAACCTGAATTGGCTGATGAACAACAACGTCAAAAGAATAGAAAAATGACCCAAAAACAGCGTAAAAAACAGAGGAAACATGAATTAGTGTTAAAAAATCTTGATTATCGGTTTTCGTTTCATAATACTAAAGAACTCTTAGGCACTGCAAATGTCCCTTACACTAATCTAAATACGGCACATCGTAATAAAGATCGACATCTTTTATGGTATTTGACGACGGTACTCAACGACAGAAGTATTCTAAATGATTAACCAAATGCTGGTTCTCTCGTCGATTTACATCCATCTCCGACATATAATCATAATTCAACATCCACCACAACAAATTATCAACCACACCAACAACACAAAACACATTATTATCAAACAAAAACATATCATTGTCTATGATATCTTGAATTATAATAAGACAGATAAGATGAACAATATATCGGATAACTATTGTCGTTGAATAATTAACTAAATTTTTGTGTCCTTCGTTTGATAGTGTAACGTTCTTTCATGGGGTGGGGAGTGTTAACGGCTGCAGTCGCCAACAGACTGTTTCCTTGCTTTTGTTATTATTTTTCGCATTTCATTTGTTTTTATCTTTTCTCTTTCTGGTTGACTATACAGGTACAGTTAGTCTTCTGTTTTTGTCCCAATCACTCATTGACCATATAGACTTACATACACAATTACCTTATAACAGTGACACACAATTCTTTGTTCACATATAGACAGAACAAAGACTAAAGGTTCTAGAACGTGTTTCTATGAATAGTCACACACATATATAACGGAATGGCTATTGACACCACGTCTGATATCAACTAGAGCTATTGACACCAGTGCACCGAAACTCAATCTAGTTGATGCCAATTAGAGCTATTGATCTAATCCACAAAATAAGCTCCACTTTTTTCATGTTTTCCAAAACACACGTGTTCAAACTGTTGTTTTCTCTGCTCTCGAAAAACTCATGTAACTCCTCCAAAAGTTACGCTTTTGAGATAATTTTTTTTGTAGTTGAAAGCGGATGATCCATACTATAAATGTAGACCTTCGTTTTGAGCTATTGGCATTTTAAAAACTGAAGTGTTCTTCTGCATACCGTTAGAAAGAGTACACATGATTGTACTAGAAATGGTGCTTTGAAGCTGTTGAGTAAGTATTTTAATAGTAGAAAGAAGCCGAAAATTAGTTTGCATATTTGTGCTACACAGTTGTTGATGTTTCATATTTTCAGTATTTCTTCAACAATCTTTTTACTTTTAATACTCATAACACTCATTTACCTATGGTTTTGTAGAGAACCGAACGTTGAATCTTCAACATTCAAAATAAATTCGAAAGGATCGAGCTGAGGGAGATATTAAGAAAATATTAAGACTATCATTTATTTTGTCGCATTCGTTAGCTACTTAGATTCATTCTAAAACTTTCAGTTAAAATAAATTCCATCTCGGTCACATTAAACTTCATTTCTTTACCTTCGTTTGTCAAACAAGATGCGAACCTCGTTTGAGTGTCTACAATAAAAGAGGAAAAATACTTCGTTACATCTTTTAGTTGACTGATAATGGCACCTTCGACAACAAAATTTTGAAAAAACTTGTCTTAGCTCACTACTATGCGAAAATATCAACATTGTAGTAGAATCGATGTTCAGCTATTTACTTCATATTCCAAAACGTAATTGACATCAACTAGATTGAGTTTCGGTGCACTGCTGTCAGTAGCTCTAGTTGACACGCGCCAGTCGTGTCAATAGCTTCTTGGTGACACCACCGATGGTACCAACAGGTCTACCCCATATATAAAGCACATACACAGTTCGTTTCAAGTTAGTTCTTATCGTACAGTTCACAGCATCGTATCATTAATTTCACAGTCTGTCCAGCTAACGGTCATCTTCACTTAAGATGGTTCGAAAATTTTTTTTAACTTTAAGAATTTGTGAAGCACATCGTCTAACGTAGTTTTTGAAGCTGATTTCGAATATCAACTTAAAATTTCCAAAAAATTAAATTTTGACCTCAAAAAACGAAATCCACATTTTATTTTTAATTTTCTAACCTAGATATTTTCGAGAAAAAAAATTGAGATATGGCATTTTGTAGAGAATTTAATTCTCTGCAAGATGGTGTATTTATTTTGGAGTTTCGGTGCTTTCCAAAAAAGTTGGTTTTTCGAAAGACCAAGTTTTAAAACGGGTTTTTCTCCAGGTCAAAACGATTTCAAAACGTTTTTCTACGGTGTATCGGAAAGAGCAGATCAGATACTGTCTACTGCTATCGGAAGTATTTTTCTATGACGACTCTTGTAATGGAGTTTAACCTTCTGATTTGAAAGAACCAAAAAAAGCTGTAAGTCCATAACGAAACGTAAGTCCGTAACGTTTTTGTTTTTGACGTATCTGCCAGACTAAACACTTTCGAGACAAATCTTTTTTTTGCTTTATATAGGCCTAATTCTCAGCTACATTTGCTATGAAAAGCTTTTTTGAAAGAACTTCATTATTCGCTAAACTTATTATCTGTTTGGGGTTGTTTGGTATATTCGCAAAATGCATGAAAAACAATCTCTGATATTTTCTTTTCATGAGTATAGACGTGCTGCATAGTTAAAAGTATATCGCACGTTTTTTCGTTCTTTTCACGTTATATAAAATTCTAATCTACTAAAATGGCAGATAATAATGATCATTTTCCGCCACACGATTTTGATGTTGATAAAATCGTGATTACTGTTGTAAAAAGTTTATTATCAAATAAAGAATTCGTGAAAAAGTTGGTCTCATCTGTTGTAAACGATTTGAAAAATACGGTTAAAGAGGCAATATTTCCATAGCATGATACTAGTAAAAAACAGCAGATGGTTATGGATAATCATGAAATTCTTATTAAAAGATTAGAAACAAATGTATTCCAATCAAAATTACTGATAAAAACCTTAGAAACAAATATAAATGAGCTTAAGAAATTAAGCTCTACCGTTATTAATTTAAATGAAAAATATAACCACATTGAACAATATAGCAGGCGTGAAAATATACGAGCTAATCGTAACTTTTTTGTACAATTGTAAGTTTACGATATTTTTTCAATAACTTCTGTCATTGCCCACCGGTTTCGAAAAATTTTTTTTTATTTTACTCGCTGATGACGGTTCCACTACCACAGAAAAATTCGTTGCGAAATCTGGTGAATCCGCAAAGTTGTACCCATTCAAAGTCGAAAAATCCCATTTTCCGGATTATTCACCATTATACAAATAGATTTTCCAAAGACAGGGCAGAAAGGAAA